ATATATATATATATGTATCATGACACATTTACATTTTTTATACTAAGACGCTATTTACTTGTTGTCAGAGGTATTCGTGGATGTTTTGAAGGTCTTATATGATTGGATTCCATTATCATCATAGTGTAGATCAATTTTATTTTTTGCTTAGACTCATCAGATATGATAACTAAAGCATTTTACTTACTCATTGAGTAAAGACCTACCTCAATGGTATTATAAAGTTTTGCTATGTATTGTATTCATTACATGTTAAAATTTTTGATAGCGAGCAAATTTTTTGGACACTTGATACGAAAAGTGTTTTATTATCAAAATTTGTCCAACATAATTTTGCTTTCCAGCTTGTGTTGAAAAGGTGTTGAGTGATACAATTGATCAAGAGCATTAAAAAAACGTGTATTCATTTCCCAAGCAGTATTCCTATACATAAGTCTGCCTTAATATTCCTGCAAGCAAGCTGTTTGACTCCTGATATCAGAAGGGCATTTACATAATAGGCTTACATTGCAAAAAAGTTGATGACTTTTCCTTTGTGTATTCCCATACTTAAACTTAGCTCATTTTGCTATCTAAGCAATCTCTGACATTTGATAATCCGGTATAATTATTTTTAGCCGGATATAGATCTCGTTTCTTGTAGAATGAAGCATGAGCTGCGTGAGGTAGGTACCGTTACTTCACAAGAACTTGGCACTTTCAAATACGATATACAAGATCGTATCAAGTAAATTGAATATCTTAACCATTTCATTTGATCGGTATGCAAATGTTATTATTAAGCTGAATTTTCATTGGATCATCATAAACAATATTGAATGAGTGTGCACACTTTTTGGCTATCTGTTGACCTTGAGAAATAGTCTTTGGTATCGTCATGCGCAGCGTGCTTGCTTAGTTAATCATAATCGTATTCGTAATTTGCGAAATGTTCTCTGGACAAAAACAAAAACAAATTAATTCACAAAATTTCCCATGGCGCAAAGTTTACGTTTAACACGAATAGCACTGATATAAGTACAGCTCGTCTTATTTCATAAGCTAACAATAACAAAATAAAAAGTATGTAATAAAAAGTAACACAAAAAACTTAAAAAACTTAACGTCTGGCTTTCAGCTAGAAGCGTTGATATAATTAATTACAGAAACAGAGCTCCAGACACGTAGACATTGCTATGATATGAGGGCATGTGGCACAAGTCCGCGACAGGTTGCCGTCGTCATATAAAAAGTGCAGCCTGTTCGAGGCTAAGCCATAGTCGGACTGAGGATTGTCCACAAAATGCACGCGTTCTATTTGTTTGGATTGACGCTATTCACAGGCGCCTGGAGTTGGGGCTATGGCGAGCCCGACTATTACGGTTCACGGTGCGACCATCTGCAGTGCTCGGATGCCAAGGAGGAGGTCTGCGCTAAGATCGAAGGCGGACATCAGCGAGCGACCTTCGATAATGCCTGCGAGGCCCAGCGCTATAGCTGCCTAACGGGAAATTGTGTGTGCCACAAGGAATAACGTACGATTCGTCGACTATAATATTTGTTATCTCTTTAGATTGGCGCATACTGTACGACGGTCCCTGCGAGTGCCCCGTCAAGTGTCCACTTACGTGCAGTCCGATCTGTGCCACGCTTGAGAATACGCAGAAGTCATTTCAAAACCAATGCGAAATGCAGCAATTCATATGCCACACGAGCGAACGTGAGTATCAATTGCAATCAGTCCTCTTATCCTATCTCTAACTCTCTTCCCTATTCTCTTAAGCTTGGAGATACCTGCACGAAGGGCCATGCGCTGGCGAAGAGGCCATATACTCACCACAAGGACCTTTAATGAGAGCGAATCCATCCTATCCGCTTTATGCACCCCAACACGCATATGGCCCACCTGCCTATGGCTATCCCGCTTACGGACCCTATGCCTATCACCAACCAGCCTATGGACCCCCATTGCCAATGGCTTACCCAAATCCCTATAGCTCGCAACGGGCAGCGGCTCAGCTGCAACCTTATCACGTATACATCTCGAGAGATGCTCTGCCCACAGAGTCAAGCGAAGCATTCGGGACAACGACAGCTCAATCGGCGGTTGAATCTTCAACTGAACCATCCACGAATGTAACAGATGCAAGCCTCTCTTCCGATGCGACATCCGATCCTAATACGACGAATGAGGAGAGACAGGCTTTAGTCCAGAGCTTAAGAAATGATATCAATGATGATTCTATCCCAGAGAATACACCTACTTCTGCTGCTTCTGAGTACAATTCGCCAACAGAAGCAGCCGTAAGTTCAGATGGAGCTGCAGACATAAAGGCATCTGACCCATACTCTCAGGAAACAACTAGTGAATCGACTGACACCTCAACTACGGATGCTTCATCGGACTCTACGTCGGACTCTTCATCAGAGCCACAAGTCCAAAGCTTAAGTAGAGCTGTAGCTGTTGATCAGGAACCAGTAGATAGTTCCCCACAAGAAA